CTTTGCCAGCTTTGGTGCCTTGTTCCAAGGGGATCACATTGGTGTGGAGGTTGCTTGCTGTGCCCATGAGAGGATGCTGGAGGAGTCAGGATGTCACCCTAGCTCCAACCGACTTTGTGCCTCCCAACCTATCTTACGCAACAAGCCCGTTACCGGCCTGGTCATAGATGATTTCTTTGCATTGTCTGCGGAGGAGATCGCATATGCCCATGGTGACACCTGTGATGGACCAAGTGCTTCTCGGGCTTTCCTCGAGCGAGCTCGTGAGGCATACAAGCGAGAAGGGATACTCGGGTCAGACGACAAGGAGATTGCTGACTCCCTGCACTACAAGGTCATTGGTGCTGAAGTAAATTCCTCAGAGAAGATGGTCAAGAAGGGCCTAGTCAGCTTGGGTGCCCCTGCTGAGAAGAGGTTTGGCCTGATGATGCTCAGTCCCTTACACTTCGGACTCCTTGCACTCGTCCATGCTGGGATCTTGGATTTCTGCCTTGCTCTATCGGCGGCCGATGATGGCACATGTCAACAGGCTCTTCTCGGTGGTACCTCCGGAAGTCTTGGATCCTGAGAGATCCTCTCTACACCCTCTCCCTCGCTTCCAACATTGCAGTGCCTTTCTTTGACACCGTCTATGCCTCTGACTCCTCATCCTTGAAAGGTGGGCTGGTTTCGGCCCCAGTTGATCAGAAGCTGTCAAGAGTATTGTGGAGGACTGCGGCAAAGAAGGCAAAGAATCCAAGGCTTCAGACGAAGACTGCTGCCCTACATCGTATCAGACATGCTGATTTTGAGGAGGTGGAGCAAAAAGATGACCTACCTTGGGCTGAGGAGAGTGCACCCAGGCCAGTTGGCCTCAGGTATGACTTCATTGAATTATGTGGGGGTGCTGGTGTCGTGACAGAGGAGCTCACCAAGCTTGGGGCAGTGTGTGGGCCGGTTTTTGACCTGAGCTACTCCAGGAGGTATGACATCACAGACCGACGTGTTTTTGCCTGGGTGGCTTTCATGTGTGAAGAAGGGCGCCTTCGCTCTTTTATGGCTGCTCCCCCTTGCACTACGTTCAGTCCTGCAGCTCATCCATGTCTTCAGACTTACAAGAAGCCTTTGGGCATTGATCCTAGACATCCCCGAGTTGTGCATGGCAATGACATGGCTTTTTCCTGCATGGGCTTGCTGATGGTTGGAAAACGAACGAAGACTCCAAGGATGATGGAGACACCTAGGAGGTCAAAGCTGCGCTGGACCCCTCAATGGATCCGGCTTCGGGCCCTGGGAGCTGATGAGGTTCACCTTGCCTCTTGCGCCTACGGCTCGCCTCACCAGAGGAGTTTGCTCTATTGGTTGTGAGTATGAATGCCAGGTCTTTGAGCAGGAGGTGTTCCCGAGACCACAAGCATGTTCGCATTGAAGGCAAGTTCACTAAGCCCAGTGCCACCTACACTCCGGGCCTTGCTACAGCGCTCGCCCGAGTTTTTGCCTGCCACATCTTGAAAGTAGAGGAGGAGATTGCTGACTTGAAGCGGGTTCCAGGACTGGAAGATCAGTTGTCCAATGAGGTATTGCTCTCCGCTTCCTGGAGGGTTTCAGCAAGTTGGTCATGGAGAGGCTCTTCTCATATCAACATCCTCGAAATGGCAGCTGCCCTCAGGGCTTTTGAGGCTGAGGCTATCAGAGGTGGAGACTTGCGCTTTGTGAGCTTTATTGACTCCAACGTGGCGCTGTGTGCCCTGATCAGAGGCAGAAGTGCTTCAGGAGCCCTCAGGATGCTCCTGAAAAGAGCCAGCACAATCTCCGTCGCCTATGGACTTTACCATGCTGGGAGGTTCGCTCCTACAAGACTCAATCCAGCAGATCATCCTACCAGAGATGCTGCTCTTTTGCCTCCCATTGCTTCCTCAGTTGAGACCCTTGACGATGAGGAGCTGAGGTGGCTGGCTTCTGTCCGTGGCCTTCGAAGATGGGCATCAAATTGGCTTCGCCTTTGCATCTTGCTCTGCCCTTTCTGGACTGGCTTCTTCTCAGACCACTCATCGCTTAGGCGCTATGGCCCCCTTGTCGCTTTTGACCCTCCCCTTCCCTTGGATTTTGACTCGACTTTGGGTTTTCCTGGGGAGGGACCTGGACCCTACCGGTGGTTTGGTTTTCTTTGGACCCTCGCCTCAATGGACGTAGGCCGGGCGGTAGGTGTGAGCCATGGGGATGCTGAGCGGCAGAGGCAAAGAGCTGGCCTTGAACTGCCGGATGGACGAAGGCTGACTCCTTTGACAGTTTCGATTCGGAGCCAACTCGCTGCAGCCTTTGAGGGATGGCTCCGAAATGAAGGGCTCAGTTTTGACATGATCTTCCATGCCAACCCTCCTGATCTGGACAGGGTCAACGCCGTGCTGACCAGGTATGGGCGCTACCTCTTTTCTGCAGGGAAGCCGTACTATCATCTGTCGGAGACTATTAACCTAGTCAGCGCTCGCCGTCCGATCCTCAGAAGGTCACTTCAGCAGGCATGGGATCTATGCGCTATGTGGTCCTCCTTTGAGCCAGTTGAACATCACCGCGCGATGCCGGTGCAGCTGCTTTTGGCAGTTCTATCCACCTGCCTCATTTGGGGCTGGACCAGAGAAGCTGCTATATTGGCAATGTGCTGGGGTATGCTCCTGAGGAGCGGGGAGATCATCAACGCCCGCAGAAAAGATGTGATATTCCCACAGGACGTCAGATTTTCTGTGGACCACGTCCTCATCCGCATCCTGGAGCCTAAAACCAGGTTTCGAGCGGCTCGGCACCAATCAAGTAAGCTCGAGCCTCCTGACCTGATCATGGTTGCCTGGATTGGTATTGGCAGATTACAGCCTCATGAGAAGATCTGGCCTGGATCTCCATCAACTCTGAGGCACAGGCTGGACAAAGTTCTTTTGAAGCTGGGCCTGCCGATTAAGATGACGAACCAGCAGAAGCCTCTGACGCTTGCATCGTTCAGGCCCGGAGGGGCTACATATTTAATTAGCTTGACAGAATCTGCAGAAGTTGTGCGGCGCAGAGGCCGATGGGTCTCGTTGAAAGTGATGGATATTTACCTCCAAAAGGTGTCGGCGGCAACTTTCATGACAGACATCCCTGACACCTCTCGACAGATGATTCTGACTGCGATGGAGGCCTTCACGACAGTGCTGCAAGAAAGCATCAGATTCTTCAACGCCAGATTCCCCGAAAAAGTGTGGAACCTTTTGTTCCAACAGCAGGCTCACGAAGTCACCTTGACCGGATCAGAGGAGCAAAGTGCCAAAAAGGCCATGTTTCCACCACACACCAAGCCTG